GTCATCGGATCTGCATGGTGTTTTCTCACTGTTCAAAGGAGGTGTTTGTTGTCTTGTGTAGAGGAGGTTCACGAAGTAGGATTGTCTGCGTTGGAGAATGTTTTTTTTTCTCGCTCTTGACTAATTCTCTCTTACTAGTTGGTTCTTTCTGACTTTGTCCATTTGTGATATATGTTTCAGAAGCTTCAGGACTCTCTTGAAATATTAAATAGGAAGTATTCAGTCTAAAAATGTCTCACAGTTTACAAAATGTTGTGCAAGCAGTTTTTAAGGATAAACATGTATTTTATTGTGTGTGACTTAGGCTAGAAATGCTTTTACTATTTATTTTTTACTTGGTAATCACCATAAGATTCAAATACTGTATTGCAATTAGGTTGAATACAGTAGTGAAAGAAATGATACAAGATACATTAAGCTAAACTTTCGATGGAACTTTATGGATCTTGTGATGGTGCCAGTCACTCACAGCAAAGCTTGTCTGTGGCACTGCATGTTATTCAAGATACAGTATTTTCTAAGTAATTTTTAGGTGCAGAGATTAAACATATCTAGACTGTGATTTATTTTTAATTGATTCTGGTTTAACATTTTTCTGATAATTTTATATCCTGTTAATTTCCAGTTTACTTTGATTCTCTGTTAATTTCCAGTTTACTTTGATTCTCTAGAGAGGACTGACATTTTTGAGGGTTTATTAATACACTTTACAAAATCTTCCCTCTTATTTTGAACACATGTAAACGACTCTTTTCCCCATAGGTAAAGTACAAAAAGAAGAATAAAAAGAACGGACAAATGAAGCAAGGAAGCAGCTCTCCTGACAAGAAGGTGGGACTTGATCCGATCATGATGGCCGGGACAACGTCATTAGCCACCTCCCTGCCCATGCCCATTTCCAGCCCTCTCACATCTCCCCCGATTACGTCACCCATTACAAGCGGCCTCAACAGCGGTCACATACTGAAAGCAGCCCTTACCAATCCCGCTGAGGTGAGTGGTGTTCTTTTTATGTGTGCAGTTGGTCATCTTATTGCTATTATTATTATTATTATTATTATTATCTTTAATGTTACAAGAGAATTACTTAAAGTTTTCTTTTATGGTAACATATTGTATGAAAAGACTCATTCTAAGTTATACATTTCCTGTTGAGTGGACGTGTCATTATTCTCTGTTTTTCTTTTTCCAGGTTGCACATTTCCGTCATAGACTAGATAATAATGTGACATCAACTAGAGAACGTGTAACACCCTACCCAGTAGCTCAGGCTATGATCCGGATGCTAATAGAGTGTGATGACTTTGAAGATATTGCCACGTTAAAAGTAAGTAACAGGGATTACTCATGAGTACTTCGACATTGAGTAAAATAAACATAGTGTTAAAGGATGGTTGTATATGCAGTGAGGTGTTATATGTATTGTACACATGAGGTGAAAACATGTCAATTATTGCTTGCATATTAATGGTATTTACCGATAATAGATTTACGTTCGTTGCTATGATAATGTAATAATTTGGAAGTGACGTAATTGTCTGAACTTGGGATTAATATTCTCTTAAATTATGTTACAGAATCTAGATGATTTATTGGACCACAAGAGTGACCTGTCCACCAAACTCCGACATCTGGGTGACTCAATTTCTATAAAGTTGGTGCAGTGGACCAAACGCCTTCCCTTCTACCAGGAACTTCCTGTAGAGGTTCATACAAGACTATTAACACACAAGTGGCATGAACTTCTGGTGCTGACCACCTCTGCTTATCAAGCTATTTATGGGCTTGAAAAATTAGCATCAAGATCCTCAGATGGAACCGAAGCAGAATTCCATCAAGAAGTAAGTTAATTTTCTCATCTAAGTCAAGTGTGAAGCATCAGTAGTAATAAATAGCATGGTGTATATATACGCCTTATATGTATGATATATACATGTATATGTATGTATGTACGTACGTGTGTGTGTGTGTGTGTGTGTGTGTGTGTGTGTGTGTGTGTGTGTGTGTGTGTGTGTGTGTGTGTGTGTGTGTGTGTGTGTGTGTGTGTGTCGAATATATTATATTTTAAATTATCCTTCAAATATTAGTTTTGAAAATCATTATTCTGACAGAAACTGATTAAGATTACTGTAGTCTCTGTACTAATGACTTTGATTTTCCTTTCAGGTTTCCAACAACCTTTGTACTTTACAAACTTGCTTGAATTCCATGATGGGAAGACCCATCACAATGGACCAGCTACGCCAGGAAGTTGGTGTTATGGTTGAGAAAATTACTCATGTGACGCTAGCACTCCGCAAAGCAAAGATCAGAATTGAGGAATATGTGTGCCTCAAAGTCATTGCCATGCTTAACCAGTGTAAGTATAAATTTGTTATTGTCATGAACACGTATGTGAAATCATATTCAAAATTGAATTTTCGAGAAATGGTTTGTTATACATACACCGATAAATAGTTGTTGCATACTTTATTCTAGTTTTCATATATTTGCCTTATCCCTCAACAGCACGGAATAACCACAAGGAACTAGAAGTGATCCAGGACCGGTACATGAACTGCCTTCGCTCCTTCTGTGAAACTCACTATCCCTCCCAACCCACCAGATACCAGGACCTGCTAGTCAGACTTCCGGATGTAAGTTCTCATATCCCATGTCCTGGAATATGAATATTGTGTTTTGGAAATCATACATTTGATGGGATTTCCTTTTTAGTGGTATATATATATATATATATATATATATATATATATATATATATATATATATTATATATATATATAATATATATCACACTGTCTTCTTAAAATCATTTTGAAAAAAGTGATTACTTATGAAATTTGCATGATCACTATTTTTCAGAACATAGTCATTCATCGCAAATGTTATTTAAAATTTGTATTTTGTTTCTTTCTTTTAGAACATATTAATTTATAACTTTTATTATTTGCAGATTCAAGCCGCTGCAGCTAAGCTGTTAGAAACAAAAATGTTATACGTCCCCTTCCTCTTGAACTCTACAATCAACAGATAGCAATAAACAGATGGTTGGTTCTTAGAGCAAGTCATCTGTGATGCTGCTTGTAGTGAACCACATGCCGTCCTATGTCTCTGCTGTGGTCAGCAGCCGTGGGGGGCTGCCACCACTCGCATCACCACGTCTAGCAGCCGCCCACATCATGGCTTTTCATATGATCAGCTCATGAATGTTACCAATGTCTGCAAGAAGTGTGTTGTTTATGAAGTGACAATCTAGCCAGAGCATTTATTTTGCTAAAGGAAAGCAACAGTTGTTTTTTTCCTGTGGTTGTGCAACCAGTTTACCTGTGATGGGAAATGTACCAGTTTCTGAGCAATTTATGTATAATTTCTTGTAAAGATTATATAAAACTTTCTTCAGACATTTTACCAAAGGCTTTCTTTATTAGACTTATGGGTATGTACTAGGATTAGAAAAGGAAATCCTAAGACACCACAATCAACAGAGATACTTAACGGCTGTGTGACTGATAAGTTGTGCAATTATTTGCGGTACAACTTCCCTTCCACTGCTATTTTTCACCACCGTATATAAAGTTTTCTTACTAGTCGCAGAACATTGAGTCTACTTATTTGGAGAATTCTAGTTTTATGGTGTTCTCAAGAGTGTGACCAAGCACAAGACAGTGTAGGGTGGTTTCCCAAGAATGCCCCGAGTAGGGAATGGGAAGCAACATGTAGGTGCAGTATGGTTGATGGCTGGGAGTGTGATCCTCGGCTCCCTCATGTGAAGTCACATGACTGTGTTCTGCTCTGTGTTAGGGAGTACTTATATGAGTACCTGCAAGGATGGGCTATCAGACTCGTTCACTACGTTAACAGTATTGTATGAACGACCACTTTTAGTATTACCGACAGTAACAAGGAAACAGTTCCTAGAAAGATCCTACTAACAGTTTTCACTGCACTGATCTCGTAAGTGCAAAAAGTTATTCAGAATGTCATGTGACAAACACATCACTTTTAGATTTTAAGGTTTATACAGAAGATTTGTATCTCAGAGGCACATGTCTCCTTCTTGTCCTGTGCTGCCATATGACAATGTACCGTTTATACCTTTAATAAGAATGGATAATTCTTAGAAATAATATATGGGAAAAATCTTTTAATAAGAGTACATGTTTTGTAAATACACTTTTGCAGATGAACCTTTTTGTTTGTACAGTTTTCGGTACTAGAGCTGGTGTATGTTGTGAAGGTGTGAGTGTGCAGGTCTGTGTTTGCCAATACTGGCAACAGGCTGAGGCAGCTTACAGAGTGCTCATTATAAATGGCATTTTCCCCCAAAGTCTCATTTTTTGCATAATTATTTATATTACTTTTTATTTATATTACCTTTTTCATAAGTCAGACTTGTTACCAATGGGAAGAGAACTAGTTGGCTGTAAGTTATTCCTAGTGATTGTTTATACTAATCAGATTCCAGTGAAGAGACAACCCAAGCCATTGCAGCTATGATCCAAGTATCTATAGATGTTTAATATTAGAATAATTTAATATATTTTCTTATTACAAATGAAATCGAATGGTTTTATTTGCTGTGTTGACTCTTTGGTGGATCCCTTACACTGGAAAGAAATGCCAGTATAAATAATCATGAATCGTATAGTGATGAAACTCTAAAATTAGGTACAATAATTTATTGTAATGTTTTTAAGCATAATGTTTTTAGTGATTTGATTTTGCATCCAAGATGTCACTTCCAGAGACTGTTCAGTTACCAATGGCTGCAAAAGAGATCTTAAACAAAGAGAATTGCCAAGGTCTTCAGCCTCATTCACAACCAACCTCAACTCTCCTGATATGAAATAACATAATGAACAATAAGTGATTGGTATAAGGGGGTTAGTAGCATTATAGTGGCTTAAACTAGTCTTTGATCTCACTTGTGTTTACCTTTTTTTATCTTTCTGCATCTCTCCTTCTATCTCTCTGTCTCTCTTTCAATATATGTGAGAGCAATGCTTGCACAAGAAGAGTTTGAGGTTTGTGATGATGTTGGAACCCAAATATTGTTGGTAATATAGAGGCAGCCGTGAGCACACTGTAAGCTGACTCCTTAGTGTAGTCAGGCAATCAAATTTGTTGCTTCTATATTTAATGAAATAAATAATTGAACTTTTATAAGTGTTTTTCCTTTGCGGAGTTTAGTGATCATTAAACATCCTATTCAGATGACACCTGAAAAAAATTGTAGTTCTGTTATTGTGATTGGTAAAATATATTAGCACAGCGTAAAAAGATGGAAAGGTAAAAACAGACAAAACAGATAATACAATGCTTAAGAATCTGATATTATTATAAAAAAAACTAAGTTAATATATTATCATAAACCCCTAAAGTTGGGATGTTCTTACCTATATATATAAAGAAAACATTTTTGACAGGATCAAACAGAGAAAGATTACAAGTGTCAAATTACATCTTATTCCTCAAATCTAAATGGAAGCTCAACAAATTCTTCTATCCATTTAGACTGTATGCTTTTCATTCATTCCTGGTCTTATATAAAAAAGAGAATAAGAATGGATATTCTCACAATAGAAGAAATGTACTTAACCAGTTTCGAATGTATATTATATCTAACGAAGACATAACAGAAACCAGTTAAACACATCTCTTGTACTGTGAATATGTTCATTCTCATTCATACCTTTTTTACATTTGTCAACTGTATACGGTTCATCCTTCTGTTCGTTTACATTTTTAGAACCTTATATTTTACGAGGCACACTTCTAGGTCAATTTGTGTTAAAACTACTTGCCAGATTGAATTCACTTGTCAATGATAATTATTAAATGGTACTAAAGAATCAATGTTGACCATCACCTCTTACTCATATAAGTCATGAAAATAGTGACAGTGACGATGATGAAAAGGCAACTACAGCATAAACAGTGAAAATAATGATGACAGTTACGTTGATGATGGTAATAAAAATAACCAAGAAAAATAACAGCAATGGTTACTGATGGAGATGCTTACAATAACAATAATGAAACAAAATAATGATGATAATATTGATAATATTAATAATGATAATGATAACAATAATGATAACAATAACAATAATGATGATAATAAAGATATGATTATGAAGATATCAACAACAATAGAAATGTTCATAATGATAATAACAATGCTAATGACAGTAATAATAGTGGTAAAAATAATGTTAATGATGATGTGGTGAGGATAACAACGATGATGAAATTAGTAGTAGGCATGATAATAATAATAGTGATGATGAGGATGATAATAAAGAAATTATAGTAATAATAATAATGATGATGTTGATAAAGAAAAACATTTGAATAATGATGATGGTAATACTAATATTGGTAATAATATCAAGGATATTATTAATAATAATGATAAGGACAAGGATGCTGATGATATTACTAATAATGCAAATATAAATGTAAATACTGATAACAATACTAATTATGATAACCATGATAATAATAATGATAACGATGGTAACAGAATAATAGTAATTATGATAATAATGAAATAATGATATTGATAATAGTGATAATAATATAACAATAATAATAATAATGAGAAGGATAGTAACAATAACAATAATGATCATAATGATAATAATAATGATACTACTACTACTACTACTACTACTACTACTACTACTACTACTACTACTACTACTACTACTACTAATAATAATAATAATAATAATAATAATAATAATAATAATGATAATGATAATGATAATAACATAACAATAACAATAACAACAACAATAACAATAACAACAATAACAATAACAATAACAATAACAACAACAATAATAATAATGATAATGATAATAATTATAGTGATAATAATAATAACCAACAACAACAACAACAACAATAATAATGATAATAATAATGATACTAGTATTGATAATGATAACAAAAGTAATAATGATGATAATGACAACAATAATATCAATAACAGTAATAACAATAACAATAATAACAATAACATTAACAGAACTAATAACAATAACAATAACATTAATGATAGCGATAACAATAATGATAATAACAATAATACTATTTGTAATGATAATAATGGTGATAATAATGATAACAGTAATGATGATAATGATAGTAATGATAATAAAAGCAATGATGAAGAGGGTGAAGATGAGGATGATGATGACAATGACGACGACGACGACGACGATGATGATGATGATGATTAAAACAACAACAATAAAAATAATATGTGTAATGATAGTAATAATAATGATTATAATCACAAAAATAATAAGAAGAAATAATGATAATGACAACAACTGACACGGAAATAACATCAATGATGATAATGATAACCATGGTAATAATAATACCAGTAACAATAATAATAATGATATTATTAATGATGATGATAATAATATTATTGATGATGATGATGATGATGATATGATGATGATAATGATGATGATGGTGATTATGATAATCATCATCATCATCATCACCATCATTATCATCCTTAAGTGACATAGTTTATTCACAAATCAAAATGAGAGACGAGCCAAGAGATTAGCTTTGGGTGGAGCTCCATCTCGGAGGCCGCGCATAAATACAGTGACTATTCCATGTTAAAAAACAAACCCTCCTCTTTTTCATTGGATATGTCGCGGTCGCATAACTTAAAAGGTTGTTTCTCGTCTTCATTTGCATAACTTAGAATTCTTTTCTGCATTTTTCTTTTAAAAATTAGGGAGCAAGAAGTCATTCTAATTATATTTTTAAAACATTCCTGCTGTCTGAGACCCTCTCAAAGGTTACAGATTTTTCCAAGGGCATACACACGTCAGCATCTGTGCGGGTCCGAAATACTTTTGTACAATAATATACACATATACATATGTATACGTGTATATATTATATATATATATATATATATATATATATATATATATATATATATATATATATATATATATATATATGTATATATATAATATATATATATATATATATATATATATATATATATATATATATATATATATATATATATATATATATATATATATATATATATATATATATATTATGTGTAATAATACATATATATATATATATATAATATATATTGTGTATGTATATATAATATATATATATATGTGTGTGTGTGTGTGTGTGTGTGTGTGTGTGTGTGTACATATATACACACATAGTATATATACATATATAATATATATATAATATATATATATATGTATAATATATATATATATATATATATATATATATATATATATATATATTGTCTGTAACAACTCGTACGCACAGATTCGTAGCCTCAAAGCAAGCATAAGTTACTCTATTGACTTCCACATTCCTACCTTGCTATACCACTACTGTTAAGAATATTATCAATATAGTGATGTTTGATAATATAATGGTAAATGATGGTACAATAATGATAATGATAAAATGTATAATATTAGGAATGACAATGATAATAACAGTAACAGTACAACGACAGTGATGATCATAATTGAACTAATACATTCATTTTGCGTACATTAATTAATTACGTCGACTATTCTTGCTTTATTTCGATAGCAGATATCGATAGGAAATTGTTTCTGTTCTACCAACAATCATGCTTATTATTTCGATTCTATACTTACAACAATAACAATCATGATTTATATGTAGTTTTTATTATCATTACTATTATCATTATCATTATTATCATATGTAATGAAAATTTACATGCAAGATACGAAGAAACGGTAATATCTTGGTATTTTTATTCCTCAATCTTATTCGATGTGTCTCACATATCAGTTCATCTGCGTTTACTGACATTAGACGTTATACCTTGCTGCATAATTTTTTACCTTTTCTACATACGTTTCATTATAAAACATCTTTTAAATACCTCATAAGTGGCTAAATGAAGAGTTACAAAATAAAATACAAGTAGCATTTTACCAATCCGGCGGTGAATCACGCATTCGTGTCGGCGAGCTGAAAGGACAGCTTGGGACGCCTGTGTGGGCAGAGTTAAGACTTAATATTACTTAAAATTAGAAAGCAAAAAAATCAAAGAACTGCAAGAAATTGCAGATAAGGCCGATACTGATAAAGCCTATTATTTCCCCCTCTACCATGATTGACACCAAAGACTATATATGAAAGATAAGAAAGCAAGCATTACACCGTTAAAAAGTGAGGGCCAAAACTTCTTACAGCCCCATCTATTGTTCATATATGTTTCTAAGAAAGGGAGACTATAAATTTGTATAAATTTGCAAATTTTTGTTTTGATTTTAAAGATTTAGTTTCAATTGAAGTTTTGCATTTTTTTTTATTAATGAGCCGAAATATATTCATCAAGTAATTAATTCACACACATATATAACTTTACATGGAATTATATAGTCATTCCATTATCTAACAACTGTTTTTTTTTTTCTTACAGATTTCTTTACATACATAAGAATAAAGTTTTGAAGTTTTTTAGAATATTACAATAAAACATTTATCAAATAATTAGCTCGTGTGTATGCATATTTACATGTCATCATAATATTATTCCATTGTTTAAATACTGTATTTTTTGCAGAAAATATCTTTGGTATCAATACAAAGAATACGAACTTAAATTCAAACATACTCTACATCCATTCGGCATTAACAACTTTCATGTTTTTCATTCATTTTTATTTTGTCATTAAGTCAACGATATATAAAACATTTATGTAAAACATTTCTTTATTTGATTCCAAATCATCATCAATGGAAGCATTAATGAAAGCAGGCCTACAGCTAAAACAGAAAAGGAAGCATGAAACATGAAAAAAGAGAATCAATCCCTTTCCTACCATTTTGAATAAATAACGTTTCACGGTAGTAAACAAACATACGACACATCGCGTACACAGCGCCATCTATTGTTCAGATATCACACTAACCGTTGGGGCCAAAGACAATCTACGAAAGACCGGAAAGTCGAGCAAAATCCTGTGAGTAATGCGGCGTTGGCGCAACAGATGGCGTTAGTGAGCATCCCCTGACGTCATCTCATACCGTTTGTTTGTTTACATAGAAGCACGAAAATTGGAATGACAGTTCCGACATTGATAGGGAAGTCTTATCCTTGTATTGCTTGTAAAAAGCAAAAAAGAAGAGAATAAACAACTTGAATATCATATTTTTTCCAAGGAAAAAGAAAGGTTTGTAATTTTTTTTTTTTTTTTTTTTACATATAACCTAAGATGTGTGATCTTTAAATTGACATAAGCAAGATATATATTTAAATTATTTTGATTGGTAAAGGTGTCAAGTCATGACGCCCGTCTAAACAAGAGTAGAGGTCAAAATCTACTTATTATTAGAGTGCAAGCCTTAATCTACAATTTGACGTAAGCTGACGATAGATTTTGTTATTATTCTAATAAAGATATTGTAATAATTTTCTTTAATTTATCATACTCAATTTCTATGTATTGATGCATGTTTGGCAATACAATCATATACATTATATGTCACTAATGTTATGTGACTGTAGGCCTACAAGTTCATTGTGCCACGTGGTTTAATGCGTTCTGTATATGGCATGTTGTTTACGCCGTATGTATGCCGTGCATGAACTACCAATTTACAGTTGTTAACCAGCCTTAAATTGCCGAATGGTTAGTTTCGGAATGGGAAAGAATTATATGAAGAAAATAAATGCTACAACAAAGTCATGATGCGATATGAATTACATATACATACATACATATATATATATATATATATATATATAATATATATATTATATATATATATATATATATATATATATATATATATATATATATATATATATATATATATATATATATATATATATATATATATATATATATATATATATATATATGTATATATATATGTGTATATATATATATTTATTTATTTATTTATTTATTAGTAAATAAGCTATTCACAACCCCCTCTGAATAAGTCTGAACTGACCAAAAACATGAGCGAGTGAGCACACCCCCACTGAACGACATCAGGCGTTTAGTTGGGCGTCGAGTCAACAGATGGCGCTGGTGGACCGGGGACCTCATATCTTTTAAAATGCGTTAGATAGCATGCTTCCTGTCTTTCATATATAGTCTTTGCTTGCCATGCTTTCCTATCTTTCGTATATAGTCTTTGCCATGATACCGATCTGCTGACTGATTCTAAAAAAACCTTAGCTACCACAGTAATAAGCCTGCTGGAAGCCTAATTTACATTCTCTTATACCCTCACAGGAATACCTGGGTAAGTTCCACATTGAATCGTAAGATTATGGCACTCCAACTGAGTAACTTTAAGAACACTTATGTTTTACTGTTCACGCAAATTAATTTATTCATCAGAACAAATGAATTATATCCACTCTCGCAATATGCTCAACCGTGAATACTCATCAGAACATGTAATATAGAGTAAAAGGTAGAGGGCATTGGGATAAATTAAGTGACACCAATCACTTTTTTCTTTACTTAATTTATCTTACTCAACACCGCCACCACAAGAGACCTGGAGGGCAGAATTCACTCCCACACCACCGACACTGGCATAATGATTGCATCACTTTTAAGAATTGATCACGTAATCTAAAATCGTATACACCAGGTAATAATATGATCGCTAATTCATGCGTGCGATGCGCTGTGATAGCATTTGAAGCCAACGAGTTAGACCTCGCCCCTACTTCCACCCGTATCCCTCCCAACAACTCTTCTCCCCCACATGCCACGTCGCGCAGACTGGTGTGAGGGGCAGGGGAGGGGGTTCAGAAACTGGATCATGACAGCACACACACACACACACACACACACACACACACACACACACACACACACACACACACACACACACCACACACACACACACACACACACACACGTGTATATACATACATGTTATATATATATATATATATATATATATATATATATATATATATATATATATATATATATATATATATATATATATATATATATATTATGTGTGTGTGTGTGGTCACTTCCCACAGAAGTTGAGACATTGGGCAAGGGTGGGGAACATGCCCTTCTAGCCGGGAAGCCCCGAGCTAGTTATGATATAGTCAACACACGTAAACGTGTGTGCGAGGAACTACTGGGCAATTTAACGCCACAAGAGTTTCGGAATGTACGCGCCGATTAATTGTCTATAGCATGGCAATTTAGGGCATGATGTTATTACATTGCTGACATAAGTAAGTGTCTGTATCATTTTGTTTCACTTTTACACTTGAACACAAACACCCACAGTTTATACCTGCACATAGGCAGGCATTAACTGGGAAAACAAACTCGCATGTGCTTTACAAAACTCATTAACAAACATGAAAATTCAGGTAAAACAGACGCATTCGCACACATACTGAAAATGAGAGAGAGAGAGCGAGAGATAGAAGAGAA